GGCTTGAAGTCAATGTTTCACTGGACTGTTTTAATGCAGTGAAACAGCAGAAACGGGTAAGCGGTTTATTCTGCAGCACCGTTTATACCCCTTGGCCTGTATGCTGGCTTTACATACAACTAAACTCGACTTTTTTTTATCAATTTCTCATCTTTTCTGTGACTTTTAACTCCATTTCCAAACCGAGGCATTTGTCGCATGCCACAGCAATTCGAGCATTGTTTCCCCAGAGGCTCAATGTGTCCTTAACTCAATGGCTCATTAGGTAAACCCCCTGCCCTTTGGCTCAGAGAAACATGACATGAGACAAGCTCACACTCCACCGTCATCTTTTCAAGCCCTCCTGTAATTAAATCTGTCCATGCTAATCACAGCTGACCGTCACCATGACAACACACAAGGGGCTAATTATGGTCAACATGAGTTTAACTGCAGGGCACACTTTCAAATTTTTGGATTCAGGCTGTAAGTACCGACATAAATTGCATTACAGCTGTGGTCTCAGGACATGGGAGGGCAGGAGTGGAGGATTTTACTCACTCACTGTCTATGAAACCATGCATTAAAACTCAGATCAATGGTCCTGGCTTTTGTTTTGCAGCTAAAACAGCCAAACAGTGGGTGGAAGGAACTCTTTCTTTCAATTATTTCGCTGGGTGACAGAAGTGCAGGTGGTAATTTGAAGTGTTCATTCCCAGGTGCAGCATGCAATCAGATGTGGAGATATGTCACTCATTTCTATATGGAAATTGCGGTGATTGGTGCTGCTCTCCACGCCCACTTCAGAGAACATGACCTTCAACGAGAAGAACTGCATTAAAACGGCCTAGTTATTTCATTTTTTTCCCTTACTTTAGCCATTAAAACATCACACTTATTAAAGTTTAGATTTTTTATTTGGAAAGTTTGGGAGGATTGTGTAAATGTCTAACTGATTCCTCTAGCTTCTCCATCTTTAATTTCAGCAATATGATTGAGCAAAATTGAGAATTTGAGGAAGCAGCTATAATCATGTTGGAATTTCCAATTCCACAGGACATTGAATTGGAACTTGAATTGGAGTGATAGGAAGCAGAATTTAAAAAAAGAAATGCAGGAATTTGTCAGAATTTAGTCCAAAGTAAAAGGATAAAACATAATAATTAAATTATTCCTATTGACTAATTGCACCAAATTATTTATGTAGAATTTTTTTTCCTCAATTCATCAAACATCAAACGTTTAACACTTTATTTTTGTTGTTATCTAAAACAATACAATTTTAATCTAAATAATGTGTCTCTATGAATAAATTAATATGTATTAAAGGGTTAGTTCACCCAAAAATGAAAATTAAGTCATTAATTACTCACCCCCATGCTGTACCAACCCCGTAAGACCTTCGTTCGTCTTCGGAACACAAATGAAGATATTTTTGATTAAATTTGAGAGCTGTATAACTACCACATTGGCTCCTAAGGGACTGCCTCTTGACGGCCCAAAAAGTCAATGAAGAAAATGTTTAAATATCCCAAGTGACAACCGTGGGTCAACTATATGTTTATCAAGCGACGCGAATACTTTTTGTGCGAAAAAACAAACAAAAATAACGAGTTTATTCGACTATTTCTTTTCTTCCTTGTAGGCCAGAATGAGAATTCCTTAGATTTCCACGACGCATGCGCGAGAATTGCGATCTGCTTACACCAGCTTACACTAATTCAGATCGCAATTCTCGCGCATGCGTCGTGGAAATCTATAAGGAAGTCTCGTTCTGGCCTACAAGGAAGAAAATAAATAGTCGAATAAACTCGTTATTTTTGTTTGTTTTTTCGCACAAAAAGTATTCGCGTCGCTTGATAAACATATAGTTGAGCCACGGTAGTCACTTGGGATATTTAAACATTTTCTTCATTGACTTTTTGGGCCGTCAAGAGGCAGTCCCTTAGTAGCCAATGTGGTAGTTATACAGCTCTCAAATTTAATCAAAAATATCTTAATTTGTGTTCCGAAGACGAACGAAGGTCTTACGGGGTTGGTACAGCATGGGGGTGAGTAATTAATGACTTAATTTTCATTTTTGGGTGAACTAACCCTTTAATAAAGAATTGTATGTATCAATAAAAAATAATAATGATCATTTATTATCCTTATCTGTAATACAAAATTTTGTTCACATGAACTAACAATGAAAAATACTTCTAAAACATTCATTAGTATTAGTGTTAATCATTTACAACTGAAATAAAAAGTTATATCTGTTAAAATATTTAATGGTTCTGAGCTAACATGAACTAACAATAAGCAGTTTTAAAGGGTTAGTTCACCCAAAATCCACCCATCAGTGGGTTAGTTAGAATGTTTTGAAGCATCGAAAATACATTTTGGTCCAAAAATAACAAAAACTACGACTTTATTCAGCATAGGACAGTATACTGTGTTTTAATGGAGGGACAGAAAGCTCTCGGACTAAATCTAAAATATCTTAAACTGTGTCTTAGGGGCTTGGAACGACATGCGAGTGAGTCATTACTGACATAATTTTAATTTTTGGGTGAACTAACCCAAAGATTAATAAACACTGTAAAAGATGCATTGCTCTGCATTATCAGTAGCTATTACATTTTTTTTAACTAATTGTGAGTCAAAAGAATCACTCGTCTTTAAAAGCCAATGAATAATTCTCATCTCCCATCACTGAGAATGGAGAGATCTGTATTACTATTGGACGTTAAGACGAGAATAAGCTATCAGAGGGGGTTTCAAAAGAGTCTGAGAACTGCCACTAAGTAAATAGTTTGTGAAGGAACAAAAGGAATGAGAAAACAGACAGCAGGTTCATTCAGGGATTGCAAAGATCAATCAAAGACAACAGAGGCCTGCAGATTTGAACATGGCTGATTTCCCTCCAAAAAATGAAATCTTTGTCTAGCTGTGAGACTATGAATACAAATAGAGGCACAGTGCATTTCATTGGTCTTTGAGACTTTTCTCTGGAAAGTTCTTCACAGAAAACGAAATATATGTCAACAGCATTCTACTGAAGTTGGAATATCCAAATATTCGAGACTGATGTGGACCAAATATAATAGTAAAAAATATAAAACATGCTTAACTTAATTTCTTTAGTACGTATGGTGTTATTCTGCTTGAGGACATGTGAAAAACAGTGATGTGCAAGTGGGACACACGTTATGATACATGGTGCTTAATATTTATGCACAGGGACGTGACTCGCATATATATTTCAGGAGGAGCATACAGTCTCTGTTTATCTCCCTCGCTTTCCCTGCATTTTGCAGCACTTGTCATTTTACATGGAGAAAGAGAAATGTGAAAGTTAATCCACACTAGGTGCTGTCATTAATATCTTGGCAAGAGTTCAATTTACAATTCTAATGTGTTGATTTGCACATAGCCCTGCTCTGCAGAGAGACTATAGCCGCAGAAGTCACTGGAAACCAGAAGCAATGTACAGAATAGGTAAGTTGGCACTTCTTTGATCAGCCCGACAAAGGAAATAGCGCATTCTGCTCAGTCATGAGGATGATACGGGCTGTTTATAGCGAGGCGGTAAACACGAGACTAACTTAATCTCATGACATCCCTCTCTGACTTTCCCAGCTGCAGACATTAAATTTTTTATGTTTATAAGCCACTTATTGTGTTTCTACGTTGACTTCTGTCCAGAAAGCCAGTCATGCTCTATTTACTGAGCAGTATGAACAGCGGTAGCTCTGTGATCCTCTGCTCTACCTCAGGGCCACATGCTGCCCTCACTGAGCTTCTGTTCACCAGCCGCCTGCCTGGAATGTGATAGTAGCCTAGGCTGCTTTCTCAGAGGACTTGAGCCCCGCAACAGCATCTGTAACAGCTTCAGCACTGGAGAACTCAGGTGTCAGAACATTTAAAACCATTTCTCTGGGGTGCATAAGGAAAAATAGCACCGATGAAACCTGCAGCAAAATACTCAAATCACAGATAGTCGTTTCCAGGTCAACATCTTGGCTCATAGGTAAGACAACCTAGTTAGGGGAAATGGGTATGATAATTACAAGAGGATCTGAAGGCAGCTAAAAGAAAGAAACTGTATGAGCTACTTTAAATCTTCACTCTATAGAAACAATAATTCATTATTTCAGTTAATGGATCCTCAATCCAGGGTGAGTTATCCTGCAGAAAGAGGCCACCGGGGAACACTACTGTCATGAAGAGGTGTCTCTGGTCTGCAACAGTGTTAAAGGGGTGATGAACTGAGAAATCAAATTTTCCTTGAGCTTTTGACATCTAAGAGGTCATCATATTATAAGAAAATAACAAGTTTCAGAACTGAAAACGTCTTTGTTAGTCCAATAAAAGCTTTTATTGACACCAGGCTCAGCAAACGACTCGTTTTTTTTTTAAAGTGCGGAACTATGACGTCAAAGAGGATAAAACACCACCCCCGCAGAAGAAGATCGACGCCTACTTCAACACGGCCGGTTTAGCCCTGCCCACCGATTCGCACATTACGTGCATAGCTAAATAAGGCCTACCTCGTGTTTACAAACTGGATAAGAAAATACATTTTGGTCCAAAAATAACAAAAACTACGACTTTATTCAGCCATGGTGTTGACTTACACTGTAAAAAATATATTGTTGTTTTAACTTATAATAAGTAAGCTGGTTGCCTTAAAATTTTAAGTTCATTTAAATGGAAAAATTAAGTTAATACAATGAAGGAGATTAATTTAATCACCAGAAACTCAAAATATTATGTTATCTGAACTACATAATTTATCGAAGTTGATTTGACAAAAGAAAAAATGTTGTGATTAAAAATAATGAAAAAATTGTTTTACAGTGTATGAATTTGTGCATGGTTTCTCTTTTAAAAACACAACATAGACATATAAACACCATAGGTATATTATTGTATTTACATTATTCTTATTAAAAATATATTAATATGATTTGATCTATTCATACTGCAGAAAACACTGCATCACTTCATATAATGAGAAAGAAACAAACACCAACCTCTCATTGCTCGGATACACAGGCCTCATTGCTAGTCTTTATCATCTTTCCTATACCATCACCAGCTCTAAAGCCCGCTCTGTAATAAAACCAAGTAATACAATGTCAGTGACACCATAGAGAAATTAGCCTATCTCTGGTTGATATAACAGCGCATAAAATAGACAGGCATGATGGGATCACAGTCCACATCTATGTTCAGAAAGTCCCACTGGGATCTATTTCTCAGTCTTGAATTGTGCCGGTGAAGACGGCATGCGGTTACTGCACACACAAGATATGCGCTACCGAACGAAGATGAAGCACAAGGACATTCGCCGTCATGGATTATTGCTACTCTAGGGGCTGATGCCCTATTCGTGACCTTAGAACAATGGAGGAATGAAAAAGACAGCAATGGTTTAATGCAAACATTAGCTATGTGCTGAAACGCTCTGCATCAAAGTGCTTAATCTACATTGTCAGTTGACATTTTAAAAACCTTTATATTTGTACAATCATAGCCCCTATTCTACACGAGAAGTTTATCGCTTTTGTATCATTTTATCACTACAAAGAACTTTTTGTAGAATGGAACGATTTAATGGATGTTAAAGGAAACCAGAGATGCCAATAAAGAACATTTCTTTTCAAAAGTATCAGCATGCCACATCTACTTTCCTGTGCAAAATATGCAGAGCAACTCTGAAATTATCAAACAGTTTTGTTCTGTTTCACATTGCTCTAAGACTGGAAAAACTGGAAGAGAGAGCTACTCTTTGAGAGAACAAAGGAAATTAACATTTAAACTCACTCTTGTGAAGTTAGCATCACCATTTGAGACCATACATCTCTTCCCCTCCCTTCTCTCATGCTGAGATACTGTACTTTATACTTTATTGTCAGACGAGTCTGAAATTTCTTGCATAACAGTGTGTTTACAACATCTAACATACATTCTACATCGACATACACTTACACATCACAAACAATACAACACTTAAGTTATACATCTAACACATTCACAGTACTCTTGATTTGTGATTGAATGTTTTTGTTCAACGCTAGGATAGCCTGGTGCACAAAAGAGTGTTTCAGCCTCAGTTTGTTAAATCTGGGCACTCTATACCTCCTCTTTGATGGTAAAAGTTCAAACTCTTTATGCAGAATATGCATAGGGTTAGAAGCTATAATATTGGCTAGCCTTAGCAAATGTAGAAAAAAAATATCGTTGGTTTAACTTAAAAAGATAAGTAACCTGGTTGCCTTAAAATTTTAAGTTCATTGAAATGGAAAAATTGAGTTAATACAATGGAGATTAATTTAATCACCGAAACTCAAAATATTATGTCATCTGAACAACATAGTTGTTTGACAAAAGAAAAAATGTTGTGATTACAAATCATTAAAATATTTTTTACAGTAAAACTTCAAGAGGCTGACCTACAATCTTTGAGCAATTTTTTAATTGATTATACAACTTTGTTTTCAGCAGACAAGCTTTTATACCAAATAGAGTTGCAATATTGCAGTATGCTCATTATCACAGACCTATATCTGTTTTCTTACTCCAAATGATCTAAGACGACGAAGAAAATACATTTTCTGCTTTGTTATTTTACATGTCAATGTGATCTTTCCATATCATCTATAATCACTCTCTTAACGGATCTAATTTCCTCACATGAGATCACATGAAATTCACCCAAAAATATATGTGGTTTAATGTTAATAAGAGTTATAAGAGTTTAGAGATAACTGACAAGGTGGGTCTCCAGACAAATGGTCTCCGACTCGACTCCCAAAAGGTGACAACTCTGAACGTAAATTCTCATTGTTAGCAGATGTTTCTGTCTATATAATAATATGCAACAAGAGGATCAGGCACGATTCTGTACCCCAGATCAGCTTGTGAATGCTGAGAGTCGCCGAGACCTTTTCATTTATGGAGTCAGATGAAATAACGAGTTAGTACTTGAAAAAAATGTATTACTTTGCCACACAGAAAGACAGTAACACGCAGAGAGACCTTCACCCGCTGATCAAATGCCGCCATTGGATTGATTAAGCGTGGGCTTACATGGCTTTTCTTTTTAAATTCATAACCAAGAATCTTTCCAACGAGCTTATATGAGATCAATACTGAATGAACAATCAATTAGTTTCAGAGCAAATACATTATACATTTACTTCATATTACCTATACCTAAACAGATACTAAATAGATTCTGGAGACAACCACCAAAATAGTGTGAAAGTTGCAAATTATGTGGAACTCCTATTGGAAAGGCGAGACAAGGTCCTCAGAAAGCTTCAATGGCGTTTTCTCACACTTCAGATTATCTGACAAATTTTATGACAAGTCAGGTCATCTAGAGAGAAACGTTTTAGGAGAATTTGCAATTACGATTCAGGTTTTGTGTTTTTTGTCAAATTTCAAATTCTGAACTCTCCACTATTTTGTTGTGTTTGCAAGCACCATGCAACCAAAGCAGAAATGGTGAAGAGGAGCTGTGGTGAATGTTTTGATGATTTAAGCAGTATTGCAATGTTTCGAGCATCTTTCCCTTGAGAGAGATAACAGAAAGTGAAATGAACAGCCTCTTAGGCACAACACAAACCTGACCGTGTGACATTTCACACTTTTGCAGCTGTCATTGGGTGTAAAGGAAACAGAGTATGAAAACTTCAGAGTTGCTTAATAAACCGAATATACAATGAGAGCTAGTGAGAGCAGAATTTCAACAACTTGAGAGTCTGGGAACATTTTGGGCACAATTTCACTTATTTTGCGGATATTCAAGAAAACTATAGTGATATTGCATACATCATTAGCCAGCAAGTGGCTAGCTAGATGAATCAGGATGTTTGCATTAAAGTTTATGCTAGCCTTGGTTTAGTTTATATTTACTCTTTTTGTTACAGTCAGTCCTATTCTTTCAGATGCAATATTTCCTTCTATTTATAAATAAAAGATGGCATATCCCATGTCTTAAGATTGTAGTTTTCATATTCTTCCTAATACTCGGAATAGTTTTTAATGTATCTATCGAGTATGACTCTGAAGAAGATCACTGTTGGTGCAAGTTTACAGTATACGTATTTGTGGCTAAAAGTTGTCAATTCATTACAATTAAAAATGACTACTGTATACTATGTGACTCATGTACGTCAAGTAGGCCTAAATATTTACCATATATACTTAAAGGGGTGATGAACTGAGAAATCAAATTTTCCTTTAGCTTTTGACATCTAAGAGGTCATCATATCATAAGAATATCCTGTAAGTTTCAGAACTGAAAATGTCCTTGTTAGTCCAATAAAAGCTTTTATTGACACCAGCCCCAGCAAACGACTCGTTCAACACGGCCGGTTTAGCCCCGCCCACCGATTCGTGCATTAAGGCTGATTTATACTTCTGCGTCGGACCTACGCCGGAGCCTCTACGCTATAGACTATGCTTGGATTTTCATTTATACTTCTGCGTTGTGATCCGGGTTACGTGCAATTACACATACAGAGGGAGCATGTGAAAGCCGGGGAACGGTTCTAGCAGACCATCACATTTTTGCTGATGTAGGTAAAACATTGTCCGTTTGTTCACGTCATTTCACTGAGGATTGTTTTGTAAACAAGACACAGGTCAAGACTGGATTTGCAGACCGGTGCTGTGCCGTCTATATGGTGCAACACACGGACTCTGGGTCGAACATGTATACGCGAATCATTCCAGTTGCCATTTTTACAACATTGGAAGTTTTCAAAACAATTTCTCTCAAGTGCATCGACGGGTGAGTTGAAACTCATTATAATATGCAAAACTGTTATCCACTCACAGCAATGGGCGTCTACTTCCAAGTCTTCAGTGCGAGATGCCCATAAAAACTGAGCGTTTTTGAGCTAGGCTCAAAACTAGGGTAGAAAATAGCCTATTACTCGTTAATTTGGATGTTTTTGAATGTAAAAAATAAGCGAAAGTCATAAATTGACCTCAGACAACAATATAAAAGGGGTTCATGATGCCATTAAATTACTGTGTATTTGGAGTTTAATGCCAAAAAAAGAGCACGGATCCCCATAATAGTGACTATATGGTGTTTTGGGGCAAACCAATCCAAAATTTTTTTTGGTTTCACTGAGATATTTTCCATTCAAAAGTTTTCTAGCCATCTGGTTATCTCCAGTCAGCTGGATGATATTTCCTCCTTATCAAACGCGAACAAAACAGGAAATAATCTACACCAGAAGCATGAATAAATATTTTCGAAAAGAAATTAGAAAGCTCCGATATAGACCTGTGCATCATTTTATGAGTTCAGTCTCACCCACAAGCATGCAGATGACAAATTAAATGCAACACTCTGATTGTTCCTCCTCCTTTATTCATATCTCACTGGGAGCATACTGTTCGGGAAGCAAGATCAAAATGGCTCCACTTAATCTATGCCTCTGAAAATATTTCCGAGAAGCCTTTGCCGAAGCTTTCAGCATGACTCAGTTATTTCACTGCAGTCCATTTATACCATCAACGTTGATCCTCTCCAAGCACATTTGGAAGGAATAAGTCAGTGTGCAGATTTGTAGCAGGAATACTGCCTGTAAGGTGCTCGTATGTCCAAACACGTGTGTAGCTCTGCATCTTAACCAAAAATGACTTTATGTACTCTTTTTGGTAGTTGTTCAAGTTAAGTAAAGAAAGCAACATCACATTTTCATCCCACTGAAACTGCTCACAGTCAGAGTAATTGGCAAATTCAAAGTCTTTCTTTTCGGAATACAATATGTAATTGCTGCCCTGACCCCCCCTCATCATTGATCTGTGAGAATGTTGATGAAAAATGTCTAGACTCCCCTTTGTAAACCTTATGATTTCAGATTATTATAGTTAACCCAGCCATGAAAATGCAATAAAAAAGAAGAATAGCAGCATGTACTCAGCACTGAAATTGGTACCTTCAACTTTAATGATTCATCCAAATATTGTCTAAACAAAATGGCTTCTACTTCACAGACTCTCAGTAAATCTGTGAGAAATAGTCTTCTGCGCACCAACAGAGCCATTTATTTTCATTACCATAATCACCGAATCAATAGACTGCCAAATGGCCCACATTCATCTCAGCAGAAAATAATAAATGGTCTTACATGCAAATACAGAGCATTGCACAAGGCGCAACCAGATTAACAGCACAATTTGGAAAATGATTTGAAAAAGGTGTACAAAGAGGCAGGGCCTTAAAGGGTTAGTTCACCCAAAAATGAAAGTTGTCATTAATGACTCACCCTCATGTCGTTCCAAGCCTGTAAGACCTCCGTTCCTCTTCCTCTACAGTTTAAGATGTTTTAGATTTAGTCCGAGAGTTTTCTGTCCGTCCATTGAAAACGTACAGTATACAGTCCTTGTCCAGAAAGGAAAAAAAAAGACATCATCAAAGTAGTCCATGTGACATGGGTTAGTTAGAATATTCTGAAGCATCGAAAATACATTTTGGTCCAAAAATAACAAAAACTACAACTTTATTTAGCATTTTATTGTCCCTTTTAAACATCCTGTTGACTAACTTTACATGTCAACTAATTGTATCCCTAACCCTACCACTCTAGTGAGAGTTAGAAGAGGTCCCAGATAGCATGGTAACATTAATTCAATGTTGAGTTTTGATCCAAACCATCATTTTGGTTGAGATTGACATTTCAATGTTTAAAGTGGGTTGGATCAGCATTGAAATGTTGATGAAAACCAGCAGCAACACATGGGTGGAGATAGTGACAGTTCTATATACTTACAGATTAATTATTTTTATTCCCCAAACTTTACATACTGTTCCCTTATACTTGCATGTAAGTACTTTATATGTTTCCTTATACTTACAGCATGTACTTTGTAATATAATTAGAGAAAGTTACACTGTAAAACCACTTTAATTACGCAGTACTTTCCAGGCTGTATTTTAAAGCGTTCCCAAAAAAACTACGAATACCAATTTATGCATATAGCATTGACAAATTCCCTTATGTCAGTAAAAATATTACTATATTTCAGATGCTGCAGTCCTGGAGCTACAGACTTCTGCAAAGGCAAAGCATATGCTCTCCTCAGAAGTGCATCTTAGCCCATCTGCAGGCATGAGGGAACATCTTTATTCAGTAAGTGCTCTATCTGTAGCCATAGCTGCAGGGCAAAAAAAAAAATGGCTACCAACAGAACCCGGGTGATTCTCAAGAAAGCTTTGTTTTAAAAAATCCAAACATGAAAATTAAAAAATGCTTGAATTAACAAAAATAATAAAAAAAATTCAGACATTAGAATTTGTGAACATTCATTTAAAAACATTTACTTACAAATTGGTTCATGCTCCACTCTAATTGGTGACAGTGAATCTTGTTATCTTGAAACTTTCATGATTTATTGTAAACATGGAAGATTGTGTCTGTTCCCATACCACTATGCAAAGAGTAATGCAACATTTATATTATCATTTTGAGCAGTTAGAGCAGTTAGGTCATTGTAGGGAATTGGATACTTAAATGATCTACGTTTTATGTGTATTACATCCAAGCAATTGAGAAAATGGTTAGAGTTTTGAAAAATGAAGGTTCTGAAAATTGTGACAAAGTGATTGTAAAAAACTGTAATAATTAAAATGATTAGTGCCATGGTGTTTAAATTGGTTTCGTGAGAATCATGCTCAGCAAGTACTGGCTTCATCAGAAAGTTGCACATAAACACTGTACAAAATTGTATATACATGTATATAGATCATGTAGATCTAGTTATTTTTTTTTTATTTACTTTGATTTTTATTTTTTACTTTTCGCGATTTAGTGATAAAACTATATTTAGTGATATACAATTTTGTATAATGTTTATGTGAAGGTAGAAAGGAAGAGAGTTATTTCTTTAACATAAAACTTAATAAACCCCTATAACAGTCACTTTAGATTATGCGAACTCCATATATCCCTTACGAAAAAGAAGTATATTTCAAGTTCATTTTATGTAGTATACTTAAGTAATGTTCAAGTATATTTTTAAGTATACATTATGTAGTAAGTATACTAATGTCACTATAGTACTAGTAGTAAACTTGTAAGTGTACTATTTTAATACCGCTTGGGACTAAATTGGCCCACTTTTAGTACATAAAAGTATATGTTTAAGTGTACTATAAGTGTAACAGTAAGTGCACAACTAGTTCATAATTATGTATCTCATGTGTACTGCAAGTGAATTTATAGTAGTTTACTTTTTTACTGTAATACTTATACAAGTATACTTTGAATACTTAATTATACTTTTAAGTATTTCTGGATCAAAAGATTGAGTACAAGAACAGGACAAATATACTTGCTTTTCTCTCAGTATAAGTCAAGTACACTTAAGTGTAATTTGAAGTATATTTCTGAGAAGTACATATAGTGTACTTCTGAGAAGTACAGGAAAAATAAACTGAAAGTATACTTTCTTATTTTTAGTTTAAACGAAGTATACTAATGGCACACTTGAATAAACTTCTTTTTCGTAAGGGATATATGTTCCAGTTTGGTACCAAGTTAATTCCCCTGTCACTCACCACAAAAGGATTACTGAGCACCTCCCCCTGGCAGACTCATCAACATATCTCCATCAAGTCAGTTTCACAGTCTAAAACCAAAAGAACAAATGCTCACGTATGGAAGTTCTCCGGCAGTCATTTTCTTAAAGTGAATAAATCAATGGCTTTATGCATAGAATGACTACACTTGTAGTTTTTGTCTAGCATTACCTTTTCTTATGTCTAAAGGAAGTCAGAAGTAATATAATGTTAGAGATCATTAGGTTTTACAACTTTGTGGAGTTTATACAGTTTTAAATGCTGCTTGTCAATAAAACAAAAAATACAAATAGACATTCTAAAATTCATGCACTTTTAAGTTGATCATATAATTTGTAATACACCTTTATATTAAAGGAGAAAAAATAACACAAACAATTGCATCTAAAAGGCAACCGTATATGGTCAGCATCGAAGAGGGAGACGGACCGGGGCACCAGTGAGCCTGATGGATTTCTGAAAAATATCACTAAATTGGCCTCCCTCATTCCAAATTACAACAAATGTCCTTCCAATTGCTCTTAATCTGGAGGGCAGGCTCCGGTGGCTCTGGTAATTGGGTATATGCGATTTAGGGCAGAGTGAGTCTAAGCAATTCAGAACCCCAATTCATTGCTTCTGTTCACGTCGGTCTACCAGGAGAGTGCCAGAAAACCACAGCATTCAAACACCATTTACCTGAATTGAAATTTGATTATGCAAGATAAAAAAATATAGGTTTGAAATACAAAGTAGGCCTGTTACACTGTAAAAAAAAATATATTTTCATGATTTGTAATTACAACATTTTTTCTTTTGTCAAATCAACTTAAATAATTTATGTAGTTCAGATAACATCATATTTTGAGTTTCTGATGATTAAATCAATCTCCTTCATTGTATTAACTCAATTTTTCCATTTCAATGAGCTTAAAATGTTAAGGCAACCAGGTTACTTATTTTTTTAAGTTAAACCAACAAATTTTTTTACTGTGTAATCTCTAAAAATCTCCAAATGCTCCACGTGAAACTGCAGTCTTCCAACCTTTTACTATCATCTCAATTGATTTGATTAATATGCGCGAGTGAAAGAGAGCAAGACAGCGCTCATGTTTTTGACGGTTTTATAAGATTAACAACCCGAAACTAAAAAAAAAAAAGACCCGGACTCTATTTGAGACCGGCTTTTATTTACCCAAACCTCCAGTCACACCAGGCGTGTAAAAGAGACAAACTATTTGGGACTCTGAAGTTTTACTATAAATCTCCTAAATCTCTGACCCATCTTTTTCCTCGTCTAATTTTCTGTCACATACGTCATCTGGTATCATTGACTCGATTGGCTATGAACTACTTACAGGCACATTTGATAGACATTCGTATCACCCAATAATACGGCTCTGGGCATTCGTAAACCACACCTCAAATGCGAGAAAATGAACATGTGGTTTCCAGACCACTTTTCATTCTCAAGGATATGTGGTCTGACACTAGCCAGGCTAGGCTATAGTAGGAAAGTATATTTGGATGCATATCTGCATGCGAAGTGCCTCAACACCCTGCAATCTTTTCCATTCCTTAGTGGCACGTCTCGCATTTTATAAAAGCAAAGATGAGTTCTTTATGAAAGGCACCTGCAACCACACACAGCCCCTGAGTTGACTGATGTACAACTGCTTTATCATACACCTGTCAACAAATTTCACAATATAATATGAGGTCTATATTTCACACACCCACACTTCTTCCTGTCATTTTTCAAAAGAATTGCCTTCTTTGTGATATTATAGTTCATTGTGGAAGTCAGATGAAAAATGTGGAGCAGAAAGTGGCAGGAAGTTCACTGACACTTTTTTTTTTGAGCAATCACAGAATCCGCTCTGTCCCTTTGTCTTGTCTCGAAGGACCCATGTTATAACCAGTGATTATGCATATTGCAAAAAAAAATGCAGCTGAAAGATATTGAGTAATGGGATGTTGTTTCTTCATCACTGTCCCTGTAGGGCCTCCTAGAGAGCTGTGACGCTGAGTCATTTTGATTTGATAATAACAGCCATAGATTCTTTACGAAGTGGGCGTTTTAATTGTGAGTCACACATTTGTGCTTTTGTTTTATCGTTCTTTAAAAAGGGTGGCCTTTTCCTGCCATCTTTCAAGTCAGACTCAGCAGTGCTTGAATAGGATTGAAAGGCACAGAAGGCAGCTTCCTGAAACAAAAGATTCCAGTATGACACAAATTTAAGCCCTCATTATAACATTCATGCAAGTTCATCTAACCCAATCTTGTGAAATAATGTAAACTCCGGGGAGATCTAAATAGGAGACCATGGCGTCTCTCCTTCTCTCTTTTTCTCAGTCCCTGAACATACTTGCCAACAGACCATAAGGCTCTCCTGGGGACACAAAGGTAAAACTCCTGGGACCTTGTGTTTCTGATGTTGCCACACACCATCCCTGTGGGTATTTTCTAAGAACAGATGTTTCTGTGTTAGTGCATCAGCTAACGGCAGTTTGAGCAACCAAAGGACCTTAAAGCTGAAATCTGACACCAACTGTCCAATAAAATTTGTTTCTAAACACTCAAAACATTATTTTTCAGGCTGGATCAGCCAATACATGCGCAGTCCTAAGCAACACTGAGAGTGTGTCCAAAATCAATACCTTCAGGGCACCATTTGAGGGGACAGCCATTTGTAGTGGTGTCCGAAACCATAGTGGACATTTTCGAGTGCACTCATTCAATTCCATAATGGACTGCAATAACGAGTGTACAACCCATTCAACAGCAGGATAACACACTGTAACGTT